GTGAGAACCATGGAATTCACACAGAAGCATGTAATAAAAAACCTCCTGGCATCTTTCCCAGACATGCCTTCCTGCCCTGACAGGCAGAAGCGCCCCCAGGAGTCTGGCTGTTCTAACCCTCCAGTCCCTCCCCGTTCCCTTCCTTTCTTCTGTGCGGGGAAACCTCCGTCTTCCCTGAGTGGCCAGCTCTGAGCTGCTGCCAAAACAGTAGGACACAGGCTGCCTGAGGGACAATGTTGGTGCCAAGTCCAGCCCATTCCAGCCCGGCCAGGGTCCACGGTGAGGTGAGTGTCTGCTCAGGACCGCACACTCACATAGCACCTCAGACAGGTCCTACATGGGCTGTCCATAATTTCTGGACAGAGGACAATCTTTCTCAAATTTGATCCTTCACACACAGTCTTGTGTGTCCTGTGACATTTGTCTTGGGCTCCCCAAGTCATCCTTTGTCTTTTCTTTCCCTTAGAGTATCTCTTCCCTGTCCCATCCTGATATTCTGTGTCTTTGTGGACTCTCCTCCCTCCCCTCATTGAAACCAAGCCACAAAAAAGAATGAATGATTACATAGTCACAAGTGTTCCCTTCCCTGAGCCATAAAGAAAATACTGAATGGAATTACAGAGAACTCAATTCTTTGGGGAGGTATTGTAGGTAATCAGGTCTGAATGATGCAAAAATCAGCCTCTGGACTTTTTGTCTATTTTGTCATGTTTAACAACCGACCCAGACTTTTCTGTCCACTTCTGACAATTAATGATCAGAGAAATTTGGAGGATAGACTAACTCATGTTAGCCAAGTGCCTTTTTTACTTACAAAGATCTCTTTAGCATGAGAGGCAAGTCTTTTATCAGGGAAATCTATGGATCAGACTGTCAGAAGTTATGGGGATCTATTCTAGAAAGAAACCCGAGTTCCAACAGAAATTTAAAACAATTTCTCATTGTTTCATAAGACTTGGTAAAGGGCTCTTATGTTCATGGTCTCTTCTGCTTTTTTTTTTAATATAAAGCCTCTGGATTGAAAGCAGATATTATTCTTCCCATTTCCCAGATGAAGAAACTGAGGTCCCCAAGAGTGAAGTGATTTTCCCAAGGTCTCAGAGAATATGTTAGTGGCAGACCTGGGGCCAAAGCCCAGATCTCCCAATTTCTGGGACAAGATCCATTTCTGCACAACCCACTGCTTTTTCTTGATCTACATCCGTATACGAAGCAAGAGTCTTCTCAAGAAGCCCCCCATTTTTGGCTTCCCAGCCCCTTCCCCACACCGCATTAGTCTCCTCTGCCCATAAGGAGATGACACACTATACTACAGGTCAGGCAGGATGATCTCTGCCAGCTACAAGGGAGACGAGGACTCCAAGGTTCCAGAAAGCTCACCCTCCCATCACCTCTGGGGCTCGCTCTAGCTTCAGTACAGCTGTCGTAGGAGCTATAAGGACATTGCCCCAGGTGACAGGCATAGCCGGCTATCAAGCAGAGCTCAGCCTCATCCTTAAGAACTGAGACCAGCCATCCTGTGTTTCCTAAACCATAAACTCAGGGCCACCCGATCCAATCTGGAGAGTCCAGTTACAATGACAGACTAACAACGGGGAACCAAGTGCGGGAACAGAATGAAATACAAACGTTAAATGGGTGAAGCGGGGTGAAAAATCTGAAAATGGGAACAATAATATCTACTCTCAAGTTCAAGAATGAGGATTAAACTAGAAGAAAATATGATAGACATTGATCGCTGGCCAAATGCACACAATAGCTCAGTGGGAAAGGGAGAAACAAGGAAGGAGGGACTGGGACGGTCAGGGAGAGCTTCAGAGATGGCAGAGCCTAATGTCCAGTGCATGGATGCTAATGTCAGATGGAACTGAATTCAATATCAGTTCTACCACTTACCAACTCTGTGGCTTTGGGCATGTCGCAGAACCCCTCTTGGCTTCAATTTTTTCATCTATAAAATGAAGATCAGAATTGCTGTGATCACCAAATGAAAAACACATACATAAAGGTCTCAGAACAATGCCTGGTTTATATAAGTGCTCAGTAAATGTGGCTACAGCTCCCAGTCCTCATTCGTTACCATAACGTACTGAAATCAGTTCAGAATAGTTCATTAGCACATTATAAACGTTCATATTCTTGTCACTGAAAAACCTAATATTCAATCTCCCGAGTGCTTCCATGGTGACATCCGTTAACTTGGGGTATGAAAGCAGATAGACCCAGAGTAATGAATAAACCCATTTGCATGAGGCAGAGGCTAAGGAAAATGAAGTGGGCAGTGTGGTGCAGCCAGGCGTGTACGAGCACTCAAGGTATCCAGACAGAAGTGTGAAGTCCAGCCGGACGACTTAACACTGAGTAATGCTGAGCAAATCACTTCACTTCCCTAACCCTTGGTTTACTCACCTGTGAAATGAGAATAATAAATTTCTTTTGTGGCGGGGGAGGGGGACCGGGCCAGGGCAGGTAACTGGGTTTATTTATTTATTTTTTAATGGAGGTACTGGGGATTGAACCCAGGACCTCTTGCATGCTAAGCACATGCTCTCCCACTGAGATACACCCTCCCCCTATAATAAATGATTGATGCAGCTAGAAGTGGGTCAGAATTGCTACAGGGGTGATATGAGATAAAGCTTGTGAAAGTGCCTTACACTGGGGCAGTTCTTTATTATTTGTACTTTCTCTCCCAATAACCTAATTGTGAAGTTTAAGAATTCTTGGGATAGCCATGGACACAGCTCCCTTGTGGGCTTTCTACTCTAATCTCCATTCAAAAGACTATGAATTGACTAGACCAAATCATCATCATTACCCTGTGATGAAAAACAAGACAAGAACTTTGCATAGTTCTGGGAACCACATTTTAAAGACAGTGACAAAGTGGAGCAGGTTCACAGTGGAAAGACCCGGGTGGAAGAAATACTGTCCTTCTAGAAAAATCTATTGCCTCTGTGCAGAACAACACAGAAAAATTAATGGGGCTAATTGCCAGTATTCACTGAATGCTTGGAAATATTTAATCTACATAACAACTTTATGAGTGGCGTGCTACTTATAACCCCCCATTTTACAGATGAGAAAACCTAGCCTCATAAAAGGTAAGTGACTTCCTCAAGGTCACACGGCTTTTGCATGAAAGAGCCAGGGATCTAGCCCAGTGTCAGGGCTTTTAGCCACTGCACACTGCTTCTTCGTTAACTGATGTTTAGATTTCTTAAGGACTTGTTCTATGAGATTCTAGAGGACTAAATGCTAAGTAATATGACGGAAATTAGTGTCGCACGTTATCAAAAATTATTTTTAGTGCTGTGCTGATGAGTAGATCAGGCCTCCTTCAACTTTTTTTTTTTGAGAGCAAAGAACTGGAAACTCCTTGATCTTCAAATGGATTTGTTATCTAGTCAGTAAAGTCATTCGCTTTCTTAATAGTTGAAATTGTCTCTTCACTTGACTCCTTTGAGGTTTTTATATCCAGAGCCAATGCATCTAGTAAGATTTGGGGTGGATGAAAGTAAATTTTTCATTTACCAAGTAGGAGACAGGATAATGCAGGAGGTGATACCTTGAAGGCAAAATGATTTTAGAAAAGAGACGTATACAGCTGAGAATTTGGAAGCTAATTCTCCTAAAACCATGTCTGTGTAGTCTGAGAAGTCTTTGGGTACCACAGGGTTATGTGTTCCCCCAAATAGAAACTGTTAAACCAAATTACCTCTGAAATCTCTTTTAACAGAGATTTTCCTTGATTATGTAGCCCATCAACAAGTCTTATTACCATGAATAAGATGTCTTGGTTTTAATTTGGGGAGTCGAGTTGTATTGGGTAACTAGCATGGCCTTTGGAGTCAGAAAAATATAACTTTAAATTCAGATTTTGCCCTTTATAAGCTTAAACTTTCTTTACTTCAGTTTTCTAATTTGTAAAACTGGAATAATAATAATAATAATTAATAATAATAATAATAATAACCCTGTGGGATTATAGTAAGAATTGAATGTAATAATGCAACAAAGCCCTTGCTTCAGGGTAAATGCCCTGTAAATGTTAACTATGATGACAGTGGTGAGGTTTATGAAAAATCCAGACCTCATTATTTTGGAAAATAATTAAGCACTTGATTCCTTTATCAATCCCCTGTTATACCTTATGTGGTTTACACTGGAGCACAATAGTGTTAGTAACTAAAGAGTCTGCTCAGAGATTCAAGTCTACAAAAGTGATCATTGTTGGAAAACAGCATGAAGTTTTCTCAAAAATTAAAAATAAAACTACCATACCATCCAGCAATGCCACTTCTAGATATTTATCCAAAGAAAACAAAAACACCAATTCTAAAGGATATATGCATTCCCAAGTACATTGCAGCATTACTTACAATAGCCAAGATATGGCAACAACTTGGTGTCCATCAGTGGATGAATGGGTAAAGAACACGTGGTATATATAGACAATGGAATACTATTCATCCATTAAAAAAGAGAGAATGAAATCTTGCCATTTGCAACAACATGGATGAAACTTGAGGGCATTATGCTAAGTGAAATAAGCCAGATGAAGACAAATACCATATAATCTTACTTATACATGGGATTAAAAAACAAACAAGCTCATAGATACAGAAAACAGATTGGTGGTTGCCAGAGGTGAGGGTGACAGGGTTGGCAAAACAGGTGAAAGGTGTCCAAAGTTACAAACTTCCAGTTATAAAATAAATAAATCATGAGGATGTCATGCACAGTATGGTGACCACAGCTGATAACCCTGTATTGTGTATTTAAGAGTTGCTAAGAGAGTAAATCTTTAAAGTCCTCATTACAAGAAAAAACAAATTTTGTAATGCTGTACGGGGCTGGACGCTAACTAAACTTATTGTGGTGATCATTTCACAATACATACAAATATCGTATCTTTATGTTGTACACCTGAAATTAATATAATGTTATTTGTCAATTACACCTCAATAAAACAATAATAATAATAATAATAATCTTTTTGTTTAATGACAACAGATGGACAATACCAACTGGACCAGTGTATCCCATTTTGTTCTTTTGGGCATTTCCACCCACCAGCAAGAGCAGGTCCCGCTCTTTCTTCTTTTTCTATTCATGTACACAGTCAACGTTTCTGGCAACTTTGCCATCATCATATTGATTATCTCTATTCCACGACTCCAAACTCCCATGTACATCTTCCTCGGCAACTTGGCCTTGGCAGACATCTGTTTCACCTCCACCACGGTCCCCAAGATGCTGCAGAACATTTTCTCTCCTACAAAGACCATTTCCTACATGGGCTGCTTAGCCCAGACTTATTTCTTCATTTGCTTTGCAGCCATGGAAAACTTCCTCCTGGCTGTGATGGCCTATGACAGATACATCGCCATCTGCCACCCTTTCCGCTACCCTATGATTCTAACCAGAATGCTGTGTTCACAGATGGTGGCCACGTGCCATATCCTGTCCCATCTTCATGCCCTGCTGCACACCCTTCTCATGGGCCGACTCATCTTCTGTGCAGATAACAGGATCCCCCACTTCTTCTGTGACCTCTACCCTCTGATGAAGATTTCCTGCTCCAGCACCCAACTCAACACCTTGATGATTCACACAGAAGGAGTTATGGTCATCAGTGGAGCTCTGGCCTTCATCATTGCCTCCTATGCCTGCATCAGCTGGGCAGTCCTTCAGAGTCCCTCAGCCAAGGGCAAGTGGAGAGCCTTTTCTACCTGTAGTTCCCACCTCACTGTGGTGGCTATATTCTATGGCACCCTCTCATGGGTCTACTTCCGGCCCCTTGCCAGCTATTCAGTGGCCATGGGTCGTATCCTGACGGTCATGTACACAGTGGTGACCCCCATGCTGAACCCCTTCATTTACAGCCTGAGGAAATGGAGATGTCAAGGGAGCTTTCAGAAAACTGATGAGGAGAATATGGACTTCTTTATTTAGATAAAACCCCCAAATATAGTTCCAAGTTTTATCTATGATCCTGGGGAAACAGTTTTGTCCCTCACATATGTTTCCTTTAGAACGTCCCAGTAATATCTAAATTATCTGAATAATCATGGTTTTTTTTCCACTGGATATTGTCCAGGGATATCCCTTTAACCCAAGGAACACAAAACTATGTACTTAGTGTAAAACAGAAGCATGGTTTTAATTATGGATGAGAGTGGTCTCTAGGCCTGTCATTTAACACCAGGATTGTAACTCTGAGTTTTCAGATGCAGGCAACAGAAACCAATTCTGGTTGATTCACAGAGGAAATAAGTTTATTGAAAGTATATGTGAAACTCATGAACTTCCAAGAAGGCTAAGCAACCAGGCTCAATAAAATGGACAAGAATAAGAAATGTCTTACGCAGAACCACAGTCAAAATCATATCCCAGGTGCAGCCACTCTGGAGAACAGTATGGAGGTTCCTTAAAAAACTAAAAATAGACTTACCCTATAATCATACAATCCCACTCTTGGGCATATATCCAGAGAAAACTCTAACTCAAAAAGATACATGCACCCCAATGTTCATAGCAGCACTATTTGCAAGAGCCAAAACATGAAGGCAACAATGTCTTGACAGAGGACTGGATAAACTGGGATTTCAAAATTGTACAATAGATAAACAAGATTATACTGTATAGCACAGGGAAATATATACAAGATCTTATGGTAGCTCACAGAGAAAGGAATGTGACAATGAATATATATATGTTCATGTATAACTGAAAAATTGTGCTCTACACTGGAATTTGACACAACATTGTAAAATGACCATAACTTAATAAAAAATGTTTTTAAAAAAATCCCTGCTCTTACGACTTTACATGCATCAATAAAGAGCGAAGCTGGGAAACCCTAGGCCCCCACCTTCAACCCCAATAAAAGCAGAACCCCAAGCCCACGCTCTCTCCATCTCTCCATCTGCAACTTCACTGGGCGACCCCAGGTGTGCCTTGTACTTTCCAGGACCTGGGAGTAATAAACTTTTTTTTTCAAAGCTTCCCAGCAAACTGCTGAGGGTGCCTTGGAATTATAAGTATGCTGTACACCCAGAAATTGACACAACATTGTAAACTGACTGTACTTCAATAAATGTATATACAAAAAAATACAAGAATGAATACTTTAAAAAAAAGAATTACAAGGGTCATTCCAGCCCACTGGTTATCAATAGGAACAAAACAATCACACAGCAAGTAATGATGAACCTGGAATTCTAATCCTTAGTATCTGTCTCCAGAGCCCATCCCCTTAACCACTGCAGCACTTTCAACCAAGCCCTTTAGCATTTTCCCTTGGGCTTCTGAACTCTCTTTTGTTCTGACCTCTTTAAGTAAAATAATTTTGGGGAGATCACATGCTTGCACAAAAGAGCTACTTATTTCTATTGTTTAAGTGTAATTATAAATATGGCCCCTTATCTTTCAAAGGGGTGCATTTCTTTACACCAATGATCCATCTGAAAAGGAAATCAAGAACACAATCCTATTTATAATAACATAAAAAAATAAGATAATTAGAAATAAATTTAACCAAGGAGGTGAAAAATATGTACACTAAAAATTATAAAACATTGAGAAAGAATTTAAAGCAAGCACAATTTAATGGAAATATATCTCATGTGCATGGATAGGAAGAATTAATATTGCCAAAATATCGATGCTACCCAAAGTGATATATACATGCAACACAATCCCTATCAAAATTCCAAAGGCATTTTCACACATACACACACAAATTGTAAAATATGTGTGGAACCATGAAACACTCTGAATAGTCAAAGCAATTTGGAGAAAGAACAAAGCTGGAAAATCTCACTTCCTGGTTTCAAACTATATTACAAAACTACAGTAATAAAAACAGTATGGTATTAGCAAAAAAAAAAAGACACATGGACCACTGGAGCAGAATAGAGATCCATAAATAAACCCAAGCACAGACAGCCAACTAATCTTTGACAAAATTGTCAAAACACACAATGGGGAAAGGATAGTCTCTTGAATAACTGGTGTTGGAAAAACCGGATATTCACATGCAAAAAGAATGAAACTGGACTCCTAGCTAATACTAGCCATGGAAATTAATTTGAAATGAATTAAAGATCTGAAATATAGGACATGAAACTATAAAACTCCCAGAGGAAAACAGGGGAAATGTTTCTTGACATTGGTATTGGCAAATTTTTTTTTTGGTTACGTCATCAAATCACAAACAAAAAGCAGAAATAGACAAGTGGGACTATATCAGACTCAAAAATTTCTGCACATCAAAAGAAACAATCAACAAATTGAAAAGGCCACCTATGTAATGGGAGGAGATACATGCAAACCATATATTTGATAAGATTTACCAGCCAAAGCATGTAAGGAGTTCATACAACTCAGTACAAAACAAAACAAAAACATATAATCCTACTTAAAAATGAGCAAAGGACCTCAATAGAATTTTTCCAAAGAAGCTACACAAAGTGGCCAACAAGTATATGAAAAAGTGCCCACCATCACTAATCATTAGGGAAATGCAAATCAAAACCACAATGAAATTACCTCACACCTGGTACAATGGCTGTTATCAAAAAGACAAGAAATAACAAATGCTGGTGAAGATATGGAGAACTTAGAACGCTTTTACACTGTTGGTGGGAATATAAAATGATGCAGCTGCTATGGAAAAGAGCACAGAAGTTCTCCAGAAAATTAAAAATAGAGCTACCACATGATCCAGAAACTCTTCTTCTCAGTATACACACAAAGGAATGAAATTAATGCCTCAGAAAGATATCTGCACTCCCATGCTCACTGCAGCATTATTCATAAGTGAAAAGATGTGGTAACAACCTGAGTGTTGGTCAGCAGATGAATGGATAAAGAAATTGTGGCATATAGTATACACACAATGAATATTATTCATCCTTTAAAAAAAAAGGATATCTTGCCATTTGTAAAAACATGGATGAAACTGAAGGACATTATGCTCAGTGAAATAAGCCAGACCACAGAAAGAAAACAAAACTGCATGACATCTCTTATATGTGGAATCTTCAAAAGTCAAATACATAGAAATAGGTTACAGAGGCAGGGAATTTGGGGAAATGGGTAGATGTTAGTCGGAGGATACAAAATTGTAATTATATAGAATGAATAAATCAAGAGATCTAATGTACAGCCTGTGGGTTATAATTAATAACACCGAATTGAATCCTAGAAATTTGCTAAGAGATTAGATTCTGGGTGCTCTCACCACACACAAAAAAGGTAACTATGTGAGGAGATGATATGTTAATTAGCTTGTTAATTAGCTTAGTAATCACATCAAATCATCATGCTGTATACCTTAAATATATACAATGTTTATCTGAAAAATAAAATTAAATGAAGAAAATAAGGAAAATTTCTGGTGTTCCTGCCTCACTCCTTGATGACTTCAACATCTGATACTCTAAATTTCTCCACCACTATTTAATTATTACTTTTGGAAATACAATTATCCACAGAAACGGCTTATGTAACTAACAACTTAGATTCTCAGTTCCTGAACTGTTGAGCTTCAGCAATCTATTACTTTACCCCCTCTCAGTTCCCAACTCATGTGCTCATATCCTAGACGCTGCCATTATAAATAACTGAACAACTGGTGAAACCTCAGTTTTAAACATCTCATTATCAGCTTCTATTTCTTCACCTAATTTAATTTAGTTTTCCAACTCCAACAGTTCTCTGACACCAGTGGGATCTCTTATCCTTTGAAATTATTCTTTATGGTCTACTACCTAACTTAAACCTTTCCTTTTTTAACAAGAATACATTTTATGGTCCAGCACTCCAAACACCTCCTTGTAAACATCCTTAATTCTTTTGTTCCCTTTTGCTCTACCAGGCAAAACCCCAGCCCTAAGCAAAACCAGCCTTTTGTTTATTCATGACTGTGCTTGATTCGCTGAATATTATGGGAGAGTATCACCTAACCGTACTGATCTGACTAATTTTAAACTTGTGAACAAAGTATCCAGATGGGCATTCAATATCGGCAGCGTTGGGGCTTACCATAACATTTCCCAGTACTTTACTTTCCCAAATGCTAGCATATTTCATGTCTTTCTGCAATTCTCAAAAACAACCCAGTTCCTACTACTCTCCGTTGGAATCTCTTCAAGTCTTCCTGCCATCAAATCCACCAGCCCACCTGCGTTGAATCCCCATGCCCTGGCTTCTTTTCTGTTGCAGGGGAAGAAATGGCTTGATTCTGTCGACTAGGGGGGAAATAAGCACAGACTAAAAGTTGAGAATTGTGTTTTATTTGGCAAACTTTCTGAGGACTCCAGCCTGGAAGGCAGCCTCAGCTAGCTCTGAGGGACTGCTCTTGAAGAGGTAAGGGAGGAGCCAAGATATGTAGGCGTTTTGCAACAAAAACCAGGTAGTCAGAACATCAAAAGATTGCTTAATTAAAGAAAACCAGACAATTCTAATAAACTTAGTGCTTTTCTTTGTATGGGAAGATGCAAGAGTCTGGGCTCATTGAAAACATTCCTTTGATATGGACCTAGCTATCTAAGGCCAGTATCCTGTTCTTTCACATCCTGAGTTCCCTCAGGGTTCACCATGGGGGGCAGTGGTGGGGGCTGATGGCTTGATGACAGTAGCATCCTTTGTTTGTTGATCTGACAGACATTTTTTAGTCACAGTTCCTAGACAAAATCATCTCCTTCACAGATGTTCATCCTCTTTCAAACACTTTATTCTAGCAATTAATTACTTTCTCTCTCGAATCACTAATTTTCCATTATATATTGGATGATTTCTGTCAGCAGACAAACATATTTAATGTCACTAGTCTTTACAAATACTAGAAGAAATTCTCCCTCGACTCGTGTCCTTTTCAAGGTACACACCACTTTTTGTCTACCTCCTAAAAAAATACTATACTGAAGAAATATCTATCATCACAGCCTTCACTTACTCTCTTGCAATGTTATCAAGAAATGACTGTAATTGTCGTTGCCCCAACACTTCACAGAACTGCCCTTCTCAAAGCTTTCAATAATCTGTATCTTGTCAAATCTAATAATCAGTTATCTGTTCCATGAATGACCTCTCATCTCTATTTGAGAGAGAGTGATCACTCCTATATTCTGGAAATACTCTTTTCTAGGATTCTGACAAACTTACCTGCTTTCTTCCCAGTGATGTCCACTTCTCAGTTTCCTTTGCTACTTCCTCTCTCAGACCTCTAAATATTAGAGTGCACCCCCCTCTCAGGGCTCTGCTCATATTTCTCTTTTCTGTATTCTCTCTACTAGGCCATTTTATCCAGCCTTGTGGTTTCAAATATCATCTACATTTTGTTATGACATTTCTGTCTTAAGATAAGACCTCTCTATGAACCTCAGTAATTATGGATTCCACTGCCTATTAAACATCTCCACTTGGATAGATACCACAAAGTTATCACGGCCAAAACAGAGTGATAGATTTTGCACACCTCCACCCAACCAAATCCACATGCCCTCCACTTCCACAGAACCTTCCACAAATAAATCAACGGCATAATAATTCCACCTATTTTCACAGTCCATCCTCAATTCTTCATTTTCCTTCACACATTACAGCTAGTTTATCAGTGTGTCTAAAGAGCTCTACTTACTATATGTTCCACATCTGACCGCCTACTCCTGGTGCTAGAGCCCCTGTGAAGACTCCTCTGGTCTCTATTGTCAGTGACACGAAAGATCCTCTGGTCTCTATTATCAGTGACACAAAAGATCAAGTGGAATATTTCGGCCACCACACGTATTGAACTGCTTCTTATGACTGTGAGTTGAGAATGACAAGAGATCACAAAATTGTCCCAATTTGACAAGAGGCTTAGGCTACTCTATGGTTTACTCAAAAATCACTCTTCTAGATGACAATATTGTAACTCACTTTGACTTCTCTCTGGAAAGCAGCACGTGCCATGCCTTCGCTAAGGTGATCAAAGTTCCGCAGGCCATACTGATTTGTAATAGTTTGGCTTAGTCATCTCCTATGTCCCATATTAGATCTGAAAGATGAGAATTTCAGGTTTGCTGACTTTAAAATATCTTTTCATTTCCAGTGCGGTGAGATTCTGGGTCACTCAGTGGAGGACCAGAACGACTTATTCACGAACTCACTTCTTCCCAAATCTCAACAAGAGGAAGCCAGCAGGGAAGATTATTCCACAGGAGTGTGAACCACACCAGTTATTAGGAGTGTCATCCATCTACGTGAGGCATTTTCAAGTTAGATCTTAGCTCCTCCTTGGGTTCAGGAGATGTGCTGACATCTCTCACTTGCCTAGGAACCAGGCTGGAAGTTTCCTGAGATGCAGAGTTTACTGAAAAGCCTTCGCAGAGCACCCTTGACCTCCTGGTTCCTCAGGCTGTAGATCAGTGGGTTTAGCATAGGGGTAACTACTGTGTAAAAGATGGCAACCTGGCGATCCTGGTCCAAGTCATAGCTGGACGATGGCCGGAGGTACATGCGGGTCACAGAGCCATACAGGAGCAGCACAACCAGGATGTGGGAGCTACAAGTGGACAGGGCTTTGCACAGGGCAGCGACTGAGCGCGTGTGGGCTATGGCGACACCGATGCACGCGTAGGAACCTAAAATGAAGAAGAAGGGGCTGACCACCACAGCCACACCCTCGGTAAATATTAGCATTTCATTGACCACCGGTCGGGTGCAGGAGAGCTTCAGCAAAGGGGTGATGTCACAGAAGAAATGGGTGACTTGGTTGCTGCAGAAAGTTAAACGGGTGACCAACACACTATAAAGGAGGCTGTTGAGGCTGACGACCACCCACGAGGTCAACGTGATGCACAGAGGCGATGGCTGATGGTGGCCGAGTATCTTAAGGGGTCACAGATAGCAACATAGCGGTCATAGGCCATGGCAGCCAACAGGTGGCCTTCCATGCTGCCCACAGCCATAAAAAGGAAGAGCTGAATCATGCAGCAGTTAAAGGAGATGGTTTTATTCACAGACAGTGAGTGCACCAGCATCTGGGGAACAATGATGGTTGTCAGAAATATGTCAATAAAGGAAAGTTGGCTGAGCAGGAAATACATGGGGGTCTGAAGCTTGGGGTCGGAGAGGGCAACAATTACTAACAGGGCATTGCCCATAACGGCCACCAGGTACATGGTAAGGACAATCCCAAAAATGACAGGTTGCATCTCTGGCCAGCTGGACAGGCCCAATAAGACAAATTCAGTTACTTCTGTCCTGTTTCTAGTGGCCATAAGACACGATCCACATCACCTGCAAAGAGCAAGCGTTAGGATCAAATAATGCTGACATTTACCCGGGGATTGCTTTTCAGAAACTTCTCTTACATGGATGTCCCTAGCTTTCCAAAATGATTTTTTCTTTAATTTCTCTCCCTTGCCATTGTTTTGGGATTCATCCACTCACCCACCCACTCTTTAGTATATTCTAAGTTCATTTATTGACCATTGACAATCTCTCAATTTTATTGATACTCAATAGGATGAAATCATACACGGTCCCAGCTTTCGTGAAATTCACTGTATAACAAAGAGGGCATCACTAAACACATAATTTCTTTGGTGCTTGCTGCATGCTAGTGAGCAAACTAAATATCAAACATTTGAGCCTCACAACAATCCCACATGGTAGAATCTACTTTCAATCTCATAGTATAGATGAGAAAATTGAAGCAAAGAGAATACTCTACTGAAGGTCTTACAGGATCTGAGCAACAAACCTGTACTTAACCTTGAGAGTTTTATTGAACTTAAGCACAACACTTCACTAGTGATCAGAGTTGGAAAGAGAAGGGAAAGATGTCAAGACTCCAGACAGATGTATGAGTCTCCACTTTTGATGGAGCGCTAAAGTGAAGATCTGGTTCTAGCTTTGTATGTCCAGAAACTCAATTTTGTTCTTTTGGTCAGGGAGCTCTCTTGTTCCGTTACGTCAACTGAATTTACCTGGGATGAGAGTAACAATGATGAATATAATCGTTGATTTTATTAATGATTCATTTTCAAGGAATAATACAATCTGCCAGTGGATGAGATTCTCGTGACTTTTCAGCTTAGATTTTCACTATCGGTAGATTTACATGGTACAGAGGTGACTTTTTGAGGCTGCTATAGCAATAAGGATCTACTTCTTCATGAATGGGAGAGAAATAATTTTAAAATAGTAGAGTGTAAGAGAACATATAATAAAAAGAAAAGTTCTCTTACCCTAAGTTTACACACCTCCATGTTTAGTTTTACCTCTTCTGGTGGTTTAAACCTCTGTGCCTCTAAAAAATGTGCTACTTGCTTATACATCTAAGAAACAGTTTTATCAACTTAAGATATCTTTCAGCTCTCTATTTTGAAAAATGAAGTTTTACTTTCTTACATTATCCTCACTCCTCTTCCTCCTTTCCCCAATTTTGCAATGATTTCAGCTCTTCAATTAGCTGGTTTTATCCTTTTAAATGGTATGCTTAAGTCTACATTCTATCCACTTGTCTTCCTCACCTTTGCATCCTCCCAAACTTTGGAAAGCTGTACCTTGATCTGTATACTGTCAAGATTGAAAACATACAAGAGATGAGTTGTAGCCACAGTTAAGTCTTCCAAGTAAATGCTGAAAATTGGTGGACAATATTTACATCAGCATAACTACATAAATATCTTTCCCCGCAGAGCCCAATGACGTGCTATGGTTGCACTTATTCTTGCATGAGTCCAGTGTTCCACCCGACCAGAGCCGAATATTCCTAACATTCAGATAAAGAATCAAAGCCATTTTAAGGACATCGCTCTTGGTGCTTTCTTTACTCTAAAGATCACTATATTAGTATCAAGGTATTTAGATTTCAGACTTCAGAATATTTTCTGGAATGAAAAGGAATATTTCATATTTATAGAGTGACAGTTCATCAAAAAGAAATGACAATCCTAAACATATGTGCCTATGATAAAATCTAAACTGAGGTAACTGAAGAGGGAAATAGACAAATCTACAATTATACTGGCAATGTCAGTACTTTTCTCTGTTAATCATAGAAAGTACATTAAAAAAATTGGTGAAATACAGAAGATGTAAATTGGGGCTAAATAACATTTGTATATCATCCTACCCCAAAATAACATTTTCTTCTCAAGTTGAAATGGAGCATTCAACAAGATGGATCATTTGTTGGATTAGTAAATGTCTCAATATATTTAAAATGTCTTAAATCGTGAAATAGTGCAGAGTATCTTCTCTTAACAAATGAAATTAAATTGTAAACTTCATTAATTCACAGAAAAATTTTGAAAACAGTTTGAACAACACATGGTTTAAACATTCAGAAAATATGAATTTAAAAATTTAAAAATTTAAAAATTCATATTTCATTTGAATAAAAACTAAAACAACTAATTCAAATTTTTATTAAAGTGGTGCTTTAAGAGAAAATTAATAGTTTAAAATATTTATATTAGAAAAGAAAAACATGAGCTATCAGTTACTATTACACACCAACTAGAAAGACTGAAATTAAAAATTTAAAAACCAAAAATACTAATTATGATGAGACTGTGGAGTTACAGGGCACCTAATGCATTTTTTTTTACTGGTGGGAAAGTAAAATTGTACATTAAAAAAAAAACAAAGATCACATATTGAGCAGGAGCTCAAAAGATAAAACTTGCATCTTTCAGTGTGTCTTCTTTTGTCTTTATTTCTTCCTGTATCCTTCTCTGTGTCAGTGGATGTAGCTCCAACTATAAGCTCTTGTGACCCTATTATGCATTCAAGGCAGTGGCCACCCACAGATATCTACATGGAGGTATAGGTGAAGATGAACGAGGAGACAAGATGGAAGGATGACAGATTGAATAAGTCTCTTCATGGGGACAAACTGAGAGAAAATGGTCTCCAAGAAGGAGAGGGTGTCAAAGAGTATAGATTTAACCATTATGAGGATAAGAATATAATCACGTGGAGTCTGTTTTCTTCCAAGCAAAGCAAAACTGTATTTTAAGATCAACTATATGCAAATACAGTAATAAGCAGTGGTATTGCTCTTGTTGGCTCACTTCTTCTATACTCATCGCTCCAGCTTTGTCAGTTTCCAGTATCTTAACATTTTTCTCATCAGAGTCTGAGCTCTGTGGATCCTGTTCAGGCAACTTTGAGAAATCAAGGATACTGATGTTGGGAGAAGACAGAGAGAGGAATAGTTCATTTAGGAGAGAGGTAAAAATATACACATGTATAGATTTGGACACCTCAAAATAGGAAACTAAACTGAAATATGGGAGAAGAACAAAACAAAAGGAAGGATCCCTGGAATGAGACAGAAAAACATCTCAGGTTTCCCAGTTCCCCACCTGGTACCTTAGGGATATACGGATTCATGAAGAAGGGAGAAAGCTTGAGTGTCAAATCCTAATCATGCTGATTCTTGTCTTTCTTCTTTGATGAAAGCACCAAGGGACAGATGAGTCTTCACTGTTTTATCAATATCTAAATGTTAGGAATACACTCTCTATAATGCCTTCTTTTTTGTTTGTGGTGTGTGCGTGTGTGTGTGTGTACACGTGTGTGTGTGTTTTGTTTTTTTAATGGAGGTACTGGGATTGAACCCAGGACCTTTGAATGCTAGGCATGTGCTCTACCACTGAGCTATACCCTCCCCCAATATAATGCCTTCTTTATCTAAATTGTATTTCTAGTCTGTTCCCCTGTGTTGATGAATCTCAAAGATTAATCTGAGATTTATAAATCTGAACCTCTTTATCTCTGTCTCAAGAATGTAACTTCAAAATTCTCACAAAATAAGTTGGGTCCTCTGTCACAGATTTCTTGCACCTGGGAACTGTGAACTGTCTCTACCCTCTCTGATTCCATGACTATATTCTCCATCTAAACCTTCACATTTTTCACTCAAAAACATATCTTTCTGTGTCATAATTGACAATTCCTCCATCCCATTGCTTCCCTTGACTGCAATATTTGTACCTCATTCTATTCTTTGGGTTTTTGGTACCAATATCACACTATTTTCTACAAGAGGATTACAATTTCTTATTTTCTGTTCCCTTTCTGTTTACTGTTATGGTGCAGTGCAATCTTAGTCTCACCTTTTCTCTGTATCTAACATCACACACTCAAGTTAGAAAGTCTGGGTAGAGCTGTGTTCCTTCTTCTCCACATTCTCACAAAATTAGGGGTTCCCTTCTTTGTCATTTTCTATAACAAAGCTTTCCTATAGAACAGCTCGCCCCAGTGAGACAGCCTCACTTACATGTACTTACTCTGGGACTCTACCAACCCCACGAGGCTCCAATTTTGTTCCAATGAAATACTAATTAGAATGGGATGAGCCCTTGTACCTTCCTTTGTCAACTCAGATTGTCGCTCAGGAGTCTGCTTCTTCTCCTTCCTGATATCATAGATCTCATGGAGGCAAAAACCATAAAGCTTCTGAAAACAGCTGTGTCTGCAGGGAAGGTCTACCCTTTGGGGGCCACCGTAGCCTCCATAATGACAATAGTTAGGCAAGAAAAAACCTTAAGGGAATCTTGATTCCCATTTCATCATGTCAAGAAGCCATTTTTCATAATTTATCCTTTCTGCAATTGTTCAGGTTTTGTTATTAATCCAAACATCTAAACTCAGCTGAATTAACTGTAAGGCATGAGGCTTTATGATACCTCAGTGGGACAACTCTGATGGCCATTGTGTTTCCATTCTACTCACCAATTACTTTCTCATTTCCAGCCCTCACTCAATTGCATCCTTTTGCTGGAGTTCATCTAGCTGTTTTGCCTCATCTATTTTAAAACTATCAATCATCCTCAGAATACGTGACTTAAACAAGTCTTTGAGTAAAAAATAAACAGCAGGAGGTAGATCGCCATATTGAAAAAACTGAAATTTGTCCATCTCCTCCAGGTTATCCATTTTGGTTCCATACAGTTTTTCATAATATTCTCGTATGATATTCTGTATTTCTATGTTATTTGTTGTAATTTCTCAATTTTCCTTTCTTATTTTGCTTATTTGTGCTCTCTCTTCTTTCTTCTTTGTGAGTTTGACCTGAAGTTTGTCGATTTTATTTACTTTTTCAAAAAAACAGCTTTCAGTTTGATTGATTTTTTCTATGGTTTTTTAAATCTCTATTTTATTTATTTCCTCCCTGATCTTTATTATTTCCTTCCTT